GAGGGTGAGAGTCAGAGGCACGGCGTGAGGGTGAGAGTTAGAGGCACGGTGTGAGGGTGAGAGTCAGAGGCACGGCGTGAGGGTGAGAGTCAGAGGCACGGTGTGAGGGTGAGAATCAGAGGCTCGGTGTGAGGGTGAGAATCAGAGGCACGGTGTGAGGGTGAGAATCAGAGGCTCGGTGTGAGGGTGAGAATCAGAGGCACGGTGTGAGAGCGAGAGAGTGAGAGCCAAAGTCTCCCACCGGGCTGTGCGGCGCAGAATGCGGCGAGCACGTGACCCACGAAGCCGCTGAGCTCCTCGGTGCTGCGGATGGCGTGGCAGCGCGGCGCAATCTCCTCGTGGCACCACAGCGGCCCGCTCCGCCTGATGCGCCGCGCACAAACAAGAGAGCGCTCGTGTCAGTATGCCTCCCAACAGGATGTCGGGGGGGGGGACGTGCACCCCCCCCGCCCCCCTCCCACCCCCCCTGCCCCCCTCCAACCCCCCCCAACAATACACAAAATGGGGAAAGGGAACAACCTAAACGCAGTGTAACACGTAGTAAGGGTTTCGCGACCAATATTATTCACTATGGGGACCTCATTTGCCAGTAAAAATATGATAATTGGTTCTTTACCCTTCTATCTGGCAACAAAACTGACACCTTTTTGCAAGGAGTCATGTTTGCATAGACCGCAATACCTGCAGTCATAATACAAACAAAAGAACATAACTCTGATGATGTGCACTGTCCTTGAAGTTGATTGGTCCACACCCGAGACAGCTTTCCTTCGAGCCTAGTCTCATATGGGTTGGACCAGATGACGCCAAAAGGCGCACAACTCAAGGACAATGCACCATCAGAGTATGAGAGCTCGGGGCAAGCATCTACACTATGGGGACCTCATTTGCCAGTAAAAATATGATAATTGGTTCTTTACCCTTCTATCTGGCAACAAAACTGACACCTTTTTGCAAGGAGTCATGTTTGCATAGACCGCAATACCTGCAGTCATAATACAAACAAAAGAACATAACTCTGATGATGTGCACTGTCCTTGAAGTTGATTGGTCCACACCCGAGACAGCTTTCCTTCGAGCCTAGTCTCATATGGGTTGGACCAGATGACGCCAAAAGGCGCACAACTCAAGGACAATGCACCATCAGAGTATGAGAGCTCGGGGCAA